GGGGGAATATATGAAAGATTCAAAAAATCTTCAGTGTAATATAACTTATACAGCACAGTACCAAAGAACACCACAATACAAAAAACAATACCAGCTTTACCATCTATAGAACGAGTAACAATATATATAACAAAAGAGAAGCATAGTTTTTTTACACTATTATAAACGGGTATGACTAAAAAAATCGTATATATTTAGAAGCTTACTTGTTGTTTTATTTGTATATTTTCACGGAAATAAAATCCTGCTGCACCTCCAAACATGGTACCAAGCACGATCACAGCTACAAGCCTGCTACTTCGGCTTTTAAAAACCATTCCGTACTGTGTCTGGTGTAGAAAACTTTACAAACGATGACAACCATTATGCATGGTCATTAGTACCCATGGTGCACTTCGCGCTGGAACTACAGGGATCCCAACGAGGAAATAGAAGGATCGCGAAAAGTAGATATCGATAACGGAATAAAGGGAGAGAAAGGAGAGGAAAAGAGAGGAGAGGAGAAGAAGGAAAAGGAAAGGAGAGGAAAGGAAAGGAAAGGAAAGGAAAGGAATATCACATTCAGCCCAGTTGTGCTGTACGTTCAGCTGTAACGAACCTTTATTTTATATATTTCTATGAATAATATTGAAAACGAAATGCTGGTTAAAAATTCATCAACGACTTTTTTCATCATTTACCATTTATTTTCTATAATGTTTTCAACATTTTTTAAAGCGTTTAAACTAATTAATGTGATGTCGATTCAAATATATCCAAATGGGTACACTAGACAAAGAGTCTTTATTCACCGTAGGATTTGTGCGGCGTATTCTATTGAATGTAAGCTTTAACAAGAGCAGTTCCTGAAGAAAACAACCCTACTGACCCAGCTGCTATACCAAATAGAATTATCGATATATTAAGTATAATTTGCCACCAAGGCAGTACACTTTTCCTTAATTTTAAATGAAAAAGGGGAGGAAAAACGAAGACTAAACACGTTCCAGTTAGGTTGCCAATGAAGGACATTAACAGAGCAAAATGTGGTATCAACAAAGCTGCTAGTAGTGTTATCACTACTAACATTACTCGAAGGCCGATTAAAAAAGGCGTTATTCTAGATGAGTCAGGAACACAGCACTTAGAGACAACGGATGTTGTAATACATTGAATTACTGTGAACATGGGGAATGCGTAGGAGAAAAGAACATTGATAACGAGAAGGATGCACCCTACTGTCCTCACAGCACCTGCAGGAAGGTTGTTCGTGATTACTTCTTTAGTCTTGTTAGAAAAAGCCAAATAAGCTGTTACAGAAAAAATTATTTTTGTAACAGCCGCTAAGAGGAAAGATATATTCATAATAAATGGGAATTTAGATCTGTTTTTTAAGCTCTGTTCAATACCGGGTAAAAGCGGATGGGCTGCATAGCTGAATAAGACGATACCAATTCCTACAGGGCAGGTTTCCATGGTGCCAATCTTGATCGAGTCAATGTCCCATCTTTCGCTGACTTTGATTCCATAAGCGGTGACTGCCGTAACAGTAACTAACAATGCTAGTGTACTGAACAGGCTCAACCATGCTACGTGTGATAGCTCCTTTAAGAAGACCGTGGGTAAGACTACCAACGCCCCAATAGCAATCCATCCACGTATACTAACAGGAGTGTCAGGAAAGGTGTGAACCAAGAGGGAACCACAGAGAACTAAGTAGAGCGTGGACACGAAAATCAGCTCCAATATTTGAACAGTTATGACAAGTTTGCCGCCAAGGTACGGGAAGCACACTGAACCCACGTCTTCATACGTTGCTCGTACTCGCTTTCTCGTGACGGTCTTCTCGACTTTAGTTTGATCTTTCTCGTTGTTTTCATGTTCTGAAAAGGCATCGTCCGTGGCTTTGGCTTCCTCCTCAGTCTCATAAAGACAGCTAATCAAAATCTGACCAGTGTAGTTTGAAATCAAGGCCAAGATAGCAAGCCCAAAGATCACCACTAGTCCACCTTCCTTCACAGCGTACGGTAGACCAAGTATCCCAGTGCCTTCTACCATGTTGAATAAGTTCCAAGCTGCGTGCCACGAAGAGCTTTGTCCCTTAGTTAGATCCTCGTCTGTTTCCTTTAGACTACAGTGCTTCAGTTTAGTACCATCATCAGCCGATTCCTCCCCATGGGAATCAGACACGCTGTCTCCTTCGGTATCAGCATCATTATCACTCTCATTGATACCATGGTATAAAATACTAGAAAGGGCCATATGTACTGTAAGGCTGGCTTTACGAAAGCTGTCGCTTCCCTTTAAAGCTAAAGTTTTGCCTACCGAGGTAACTGAGTTGTCAATGTATAGTACAATCGCTCTCAAGGATAGCTGCCTCTCAAAATCTTGACTTCAGAGTAAAAGCGTACGGTGCTATATATACTATACAGTCTAAATGATACATTAGCTTTGATTGCGTAATTATTATCAAAATAAACGCTCTCCTGCTGAAATAAGTATGGCTTTTTTTAATGCTAGTTCCGTTTACAACCGGAATATGAGAAAAAATCTTATTTGCAACGCGTTCGTCCCACTCGTAATCCTAAACACGGTGAGTGGTCGATAGTTCGAGCAGTGGTAGCAGGCAGCTAGTCACTGGGGGGAAATCACGAACCTTGAAATGAAAATCTTTATTGAAATCTGACGAACATCAAACAAAGTAAAAGAGCATTAAATAAACACTTTAAGTTCAATAGAAGTTTGTGAGAAAACTGAGGATGAAAAAACGGAAAATTACAAAAAACAGGCATATAAAAATTGATATGAAAAATAAATACGAAACTAAGGAAAATTGAATGTAAAATATAACTTGACAATAAATCAAAACTTGATAAGACTATCCAGGACGATCATCGACATACGAACATAATAATGCACATTAGATCCAACCAAGAAAAAGTTGACATTTAGACTCATGATCGATCATAATGAAATGATGAAGCTCCACATGTACGGTTTTAAATTTTCGAAATTTTCAGCGTGAAAATTGCAATTGGAGATTAGACAACAGAAAAATAGTAAAGGTTGCAATATCTATCAATTTATTTCTCGCTATTCTCGGAATAACATTTAGGGTCCCCTCTACTAGGGTAGGCTAAGACAATACACGAGTCATTTGTATCTTCAATCAATCCATTCCTCACTATTCTTAGAACTACATTTAGGTGCACCTCTACTAGGGTAGACTAAGACAATACACGAGTAATTTGTATCAATCCATTCCTCGCTATTCTAGATCTTAGAACTACATTTAGGTGCCCCTCTCCTAGAATAGGAATTTACATAATAATAAGGTACGGTAATGGTTGACTATAAATGAGCTAGCTTAATAAATAGTGCCGACTGATCACTGAAAAGTGTAGATATATAGGTAACCCAATCCATATACTGTGTACTTGTCAGTCATGACCTCGTTGTGATGGTGATGAATATTTTAATGGTCTTAATAAATAGTGTTAAATGTTTAAAAGTGTTGATATGTAGGTAACCCATTCCACGTACTGAGTACTTGTCAGTCATGACCTCCTTGTGGTGGTGATGAATATTTTAATGGTCTTAATAAATAGTGTTAAATGTTTAAAAGTATTGATATATAGGTAACCCATTCCACGTACTGCATGTGTACTTGTCAGTCATGACCTCGTTGTGAGGTTGGTGAAAATTAAATCTAGGTAGAAAGGTACGTGTTATGATGCCGTGTGTAATATGATTCAGTGATGACGTCAGCAGTCCGCTGAATGCTTGGAGTTTATCTGTTACTGTACAAATATGAAGCAGTTGGAGGTACAAGACCCTTCAGTTCTAGAGTTGCTGCTGCCACATGGGACTAAGTATGAACCAGTCTCTACTCCAACACCTATGCAAGAGTTGGGTACATTGCAATCATTAGAGTTATCAGCTATGATGCCAATCCTAACCTTGGCTTTATTTTTATTACCAACCATATTCATTCCTTCCTTACAATAATAGTTCTGCAGCTTATGGTCAGGGAACAGGGATACCCATGCAGATCTTCCCAGTGCAGTGGTCTCTTTTTCTGTACCATCAGCAAGAAGAGAATACAAAGATTCTGCCGTCATGTCGATTTTTATCCAATTGACATTCCCTGTGTTACTCCTCATACCCAGGCAAATCTTAGTGAAGTTGGTCTTCCAGTATGAAGGCATTTTTGTCTCGTTCAAGTCATCGATTCCTGTTTGTCCGGCACCTTCATTGTATGCTGTCTTTTCGCTCCAGTGTTGGGAAGTATAAGTGAATTCTTGCTATAAAATCAAAAGTCAGTTTCAAGATCTAGATAGTATTTCAGTAAATATAATCTATCATTAGTTAAAACGCTTTTGGGGTCTTGTTGTAATGAGGGACGCTTACGCATAAGACACCGGTCGACGCTACGCGGTTTGAAAGGAACAAAAAAATTGGTAAGGGACCCGTCATTATTTATCACCTGGGGGGGG